TGTATCCAAAATGGGTTTATTTTGTGTCTAAAGAGAAAAACTATATATTTGTCGGATCACCCCCTAGTTGTTGTCTCGCTTATCGCTGACATAATCAACTCCTAGGAGCCGGATAAACTCTGGATCCCATTCACAAGGCAATAGCCTGTAATACACAGATAGCCATAGTAATTTGTATCACATTCTCTGTTTGAGTTTTATCTGTATTTTTTGGGGGTTAACCTTGCGATTTGCGAATTTTAAGGGTCGTAAGATAGATGTTATTCACGAACTATCTAGATCTAGGTACAAAAGAGAATCTTAAACTGGAGAGGAAATTGACTGCGGGAACCCACTACATGAATGATCTGGCTTTATGCCAAGGATTCGAGTTTTTTTTTGAATCATATTGTATTCAGCTATCTAACTATGACAATAGGTTTCGAGTTATGAAAATAAAATGAATGATATGAAGAGCAAGATTTGGAGTATTCCTCTTGCCAAGGTGCCTAGCTGCTCGGCTTCTCCGCTCTCCGCCAGAGCTTAGTCCTATAACCATTCAACCATCAGATTATTCAACCATTAGTATGTCGAATGTTTGGGTCCCCCATCATCCCTCAGCCCTATTTCATACCAATCCTCCAATGTACAAACGCCTTAGACTTGTGCCTGAGTTGTGCTAGGCTCTAGCCTATGACACGAATCGTCTATATTCAGATTAAGATACTTTAACTGACCCTAAATTAATTTTCATTTAGATATGGTCTCGTTTAATGCACCAATTAGCCTTGGGGTAACTACATTAGATTCGTGCTAAAAGGTCTTCTATGGCAAATGTTTGTCGATGAATCTTTCTTCGAGGACTTCATGTGAGCCATATCTACAGAAGGTTGAGATTCCAGGGGACGTGGCGGACTGCAGTTTTGACGAGAGACTAATCCCTAGTATTTCTAAGGCAAAAAGGAGCGGTCCAACTTTATCTATCATTTTATTAAATTGGGAGGCCTTCTATAGCTGTGTGACTGTAGAGAAGACAAGGGAATTAGTACAGTGGAAGGAGGTCAGATAGAATGAGAAGCGATAGTATTGTATTCACGAGAGTGAAATGGATGAAAACTACTAAGTACAAACTTTCTCCACGCGACTGATCTGCATGAGTAGCATTATTGACGCGACTCCTAAGTTTGACCTTAACTATCTCGGCTAGCTCTTATACTGTCAGGTAACTGGGAGCCTGACCTGTGACAGGCGAAGTGTATGTAATTAAAGTAAAAGATCACTCAGTAAAAACAACTTGATTCCTATTTCTCCCGGAATTCTAGGACTTTATACACTGGTCATGATTGACTTGATCTCTTGATCTCTAAATATAAACATGCGCTAGGAATAGAATAACCTGCAGTTCTAAATACAGAATGCAAGCACTGACCGAAACAAATAACCCACGTACGTATGGACAGTCCCTATTTGTGACCCGAGACATTTCCCTGTGCAACTTCTTCGGTGGTTATTTTTAGCCGTCGACATATACCAACCAGACACACCTTGTCATTTAACACATTTCTTAATTCCTTCGGGATTTTTTCCAGCTGATTAGCATAGAGCCACACTAGTAAGTGAGTTATTAATGTTGATCAACATTATAAAAAAAACTTTCGAGGTGTAGAGTAACTTCTGACATCAATGCTGAAAGCCAGTGATATGACCAATGAACGAAGCTGATTTTCTTTCTGGCGACAAAGGCTGTTTTTGTTTCAGGTGTGGGTCCTATGCATAGGATTTATCCCCTAGAACGTCAAATTCTTAGAGTGCTCTTTTCATTTCTTCTAAAAAAGCTACCAACAAACGTTTTACCTATTTGAGTCTATTGAAAGGCTATGCTCAGCTGGAATGACGTACCGTTAGGATGAAGGTATGGAAGGAGGTAGCTATGGCTTTAAGAGAAGTAAAGTTTGTGAGTTATACTCTTAGGACTTGGATCAATGGACGAACTTGGGGATATTCCCTAGTATTCTCAAGTGTGTGAACTAATATGGAGATTATTTGAATTTCCTATTGAATGAGTTGCTTTTTGTTATCTACGTGACAGGACCCTCTTCTATGTACATGAATAAGGGGGCTCTGCACACTAGTGGATGTTCCAACATCTAATTGAAATTAGTTCCGGAGATTGGAAGAATTACACACTAGCCTCGAGTTTGATTAAGAGATACGATAAATGTGTTTACTATACGAAGAAGTTTACTGATGTTTAATGGATAGTAAATTGTGATTAAATTGCTATAATTCTACATGTGTGGCGAGAAGTCTCTCTATATACATGAAAGCTGGGTTTTCCGCACACTAGTGTGAACTCCAATATACTTCCTAATCTAACCTAAATGAGAAGGTTTTTGGAGATCCTGAAGCCAATGTATGCTGTCAGGCATCTATTGGCTAATTACTATTCATGCCAGTGAGTGATGATATGGGTTAATCATATCTCATGGCGCCAGTGCATATTATTCTGATATGTACTATTTGTCTACTGCAGTCATGTTGCTGCCTTAATTACAACACATCTGTCCTTGTCTAACCGAGAAAGGAAGGATGTGAGAGATCCTAGCGCCAATAGATACCATTAGGAATCTATTAGGAAATACTATGTCATACCAATGAGTGATGATCTAGGTCAATCATATCCCATGGCGCATGTGCACATTATTCTAATGTGAACAGTTTGTTGTAATGCAGTCATGTTACTCCCTTAATTACAACACAGTTTACCCAAGAAGGGTTTGGAAATCCCAATGTTACTTGATCCACAGTTGAATTTCATGATGAAAGTAGCTCTCTAAAACGGCACGACTTGAGTCAGTCTAGCAGCACAATATCTTGGTTGATTTAGGTCCCTCCGAGGCTCAGGAAGGGCACAGTTTGCCCAAGGTTGATCCGGATTGTAGTTATTATGGCTTCTGTTACTGTTTCATGGCTATCTACCTGCACCAGAGACCTTGGCAATCTTCCCCTTCCTGCTAGCAGCTTTAGCGAAGCCTTGGCTAGCATTGGTATCAATGGACGTTTGTAAGTGTGTGTGTTTATTTTGCTACTTGCGTCTATGCTTATCTAATACGTTAGGCTCCTCTCTGACCCAGATCACACCTTGTGAAGTGCTCCTAGACTCTTATGTTTCTTGAAAGATCATTGATATATTGCCCGTTATGAATAGCCACTCAGCTCAGTATTTACCTACGGAATTCGGCCACCTTTTCCTCGGAACCTTCTACCCAAGAAAACAAAAAAGTAGCAATGGAAACTGTGTGCGCGGGAAAAAGTCTCAAAAAATCTGCAGCCCCTACCAGGCGAGACCTAGACACTGGAGCCACACGAGGTCCTCATATTCATCTATATCTCCCTTCTTTGTAACAGTTGTGGCCGACTTGATCCAATCCACCATCGCCGCATCTGGTGCTGGGTACGTTCCGGAAACTCATCGGATGGCTTTTCCTCAATGACCAAGGTTGGGTATTAAGGAGGGCTCCAGCCCTACCATCTGGTCTGATGGTGGTTAACTTCATGAAAATGGTGATGGGGAGATGTACGAATTGTTGATGACCATATAGACCGCGAAAGCGATTGGTAATTCTCGTAAATGTGAGGACTTTGTTACTCAACCCCAGCTCTGCAGACTCTACAGTCAGAGCTGAAGGTTTGTAGGGGACACCACTGACAAGTGTTGAGAATAATCCCTCATCGACGTTGGTGTAGTTTAGTCTACATCTTTTTGCCTCTGGATCTCTTCAGTCCTATAGAGAAACCCTTCTCTTGCTCTTTCTACACTTTCTTTGTAGACCTAAGAATTCTGGCATAAACTCTCAGGTTAAGGCTTGTGATATTTGTGATTTTCCTCAGCTACATTGTTATGGTAGACCTAATAGCTAGTGCGTAGGTAGTTGCTTTAGCGTTGTGGCGCATACCTGAGATCCAGTCTCTACACAATAGCAATACAAGTAATACTGTATGCATTAAAAGGAATGGATCATTGATGTATGATGAATCGCATAATTGCTCAGTCGGGTGCACATTATGGTGCGCTACAGACTAGTTACATGATCTGTCGACGAGCAAACTAGCTAGTGGATAAGAGTAGAGCTCCCCCCATACATCACTGCCTTTCTGCAAGATCTTTGGGTCTAACTTCATTCACTAAAATTATAGAACTGATTGATTTGTATTCGTAGAGATCAGAGTTGAGCAGCGTAGAGGATCGCATTGATAACGACACCGTTACAGACAATTTCTCTTTGGGAACTTGTGATAGTGGGCCCATGATTAGGGTTCCCCTTGTTAAATTAGTTTTCTTAGCCGCAGCATACTCTTTTCCAAGTGTCATAGCTAAGTAAGCTGCATACACTTGATGAATTAAAAAAAGTCCATCATGAAACCACTAGATTTTATCTAATTTTTGGGTCCTAAGATTCTGATACCTGAGGCCTCAACTGTAGGCTGAATGGAGGCGCTGTTCTGCTTCTGAAATCCCCTACACTTTTGTAGTAAGTGAGACACCCGGGATTAGTAAAGGGAAATCCTGGTGTAATAGTTAAAAGTCGTCTTGCTCCAGTATTTAGTCAAACATTCTCTCCTGTAAGTTAGTGATGAATAGCGACAATTAAGAGGCAAATTTGAAGAGCAATATGAATTTAAGGAAGGATTACAGGATATCGAGATGATTAGTTTTATATTCTGTACCTGATCCTACATTTATCTGAAGTACTAAGATATTAGTCATACGTTGACTCCTCAACGATCTCGGAGAAAAGTTTAAGCAAGATTCCTAGAACAATGATAAACATTAATAATACAGGGTATACCCAGTCTCCATTCGCCCAACACCAATCAGCCTGAACTCCTTTTCGCCAGAACCAACAGATAATTGAGATGGCCGAACCATAGTCGTTCTTCTGAAACTAAGTAGTGAATATTTAGGATGCCCAGTTATCGACGCTATGACCGGGTAGGTCCAAGTTTCTTTGTTTCTTAGATTATCGACGATATATGTCTTTCTCACGTTCCTTTCGATCAGTAGAAGCTGTTTCTCTCCTTCGTATTCTATCTCTATCGTAATCCCTAGCTGGAGTTCGACTTCGACTTCGGCTTCTTGCCCTTACAATTCGGCCACGTTCGCCATGTTCTAACGCTCTCTCTCGATCTAGGCGCCTATCATCGCGTTCATCTCGCCTACGGTCACGTGAACGCTCACCTCCTATTCTCTCGTCTCGATCCCGAGATCTTCGTTCATCATGCCGCATACTATCTGAACCATAGCTTGGAATATAGGTGTCGACGATTGGGGCACCACGACCCCGAGGCGGAATTCTTTCGCAGTCTCGAGACTGGGGACGGTATCCATCCGATCTATCCCCACTTCGACTATTATCATGTATATTGCTGTAGTCCGCTGGTGGAGGTCTGGGCGGAAGTCTGCTGTCCTGGCGATCATGAGTACGAGACCACGCTGGCCTTCGGTCATCTCCTCCACCATGTTGGATGCCACCCCTATGGTTGTTATGATGGGGGTATCGAGCTGTATTCGCTTGACGAAAAGCGTTATAACCTTCAGAGTTAGCTATAGAGCTACTTCCTGCTGGTACACCTTCCCATGCACCCAATTGGCCCATGCCTACGGTTCCCCCCTTAGGGGCAGGAGGCAAAGCAGCTTGTTGGCTCCTAAATTTCCGACGGTCAAATTCATGAGACTCTTCAAAAAAAGGAAGGTCCTCTGGCTTTGCAGGGAGTGGGCTATTTCGAAAATATGGGTGCTTGAGAGCATCAATGGCATTAATACGCTTCCGCCAATCAAGCTTCAAAAGCTCCTTCAAAAGCGAGATAGCACCTGAGCCATAGCTACCAAGCATTAGAATTTAATCTGTATTAGAGTCTGGGTATCTTACGCTCTGAATTTCTGTGACAAGGAACCTGGATTCTGGGGTAGACTAGATACCTTGTATATTTCAGCGCCCGGCAGAGATTTCCAGTTAGGCATAGTTTCATCCGTGGGTGTGCCGACTAAATCGAATATAATCTTAAGTTGATTGGAATCGCTATCACCAGCAAGAATAGGTTTCCCTAATAGCATTTCACCAAAGACGCAGCTTATCATGTTAGTGAAAGTAATAAATCTTTGTGATACTTACCCTACTCCCCATAGGTCAATCGCCGAAGTATATTTGCGTAATTGAAGTAGCAGTTCTGGAGGTCGATACCATCGAGTGACAACTAACACAGTGTAATCCCTGCGAGCCTCTCCACCTCCACCTCCAGGAACAGGGACTGCTTCATCGTAATGTCGCGCAAGTCCAAAGTCGGCAATTTGCAATATTCCTTTGTTGTTAATGAGTAAGTTCGCTGCTTTCATATCTCGATGAAGTATGTGGTTATCATGTAGGTATCTAAGTCCTTCTAGCAGCTGAAGTAAGTAGCATTTTATTTGAGGTTCAGTAAAAATTATGTTAGGATTTTCAAGAAGACCAGCAAGGTCATGGTCCATGTATGGAGTTACCATGTACATTATAGCACGCTTTTTTTTATCACCAGTCCGCAGATGATGCTCAACGGCCATTTCCTCGAGCCGCAGTACGTTGGGATGAGATAAGAGCTTCAAGAGCTTTATCTCGCGGAGTGCAGTAATTGGAAACCCGTCTTTCTCGTGATGCATCAGTATCTTCTTGAGTGCAACGATAGCTCCCGTCTTCTTGGATCTTGCTCGGTGAACCTCGCCAAATGTTCCCTCCCCAAGTTTACCTTGTTGCTCATAATCAGCTATCTTTGAACAGCCTCGAAAGGTATTTTGCGACCTCATGTGTTGTTGGGCAAAAGTGCGCGGAGATACGACACGGTTCTCCAGTTTTGGTTCGATGTAGGCCATCCTGTGAGTAACGAGAACGCCGAAGAGCGGATTCAAAAGTTCCTAGATTTTAAGGGGCTGTCCCAGAGTCTGTTTGCACCTTTGTGTCCTCGTATTTTTATCGGGTGAGAATTTGGGAGATAACCTAGGTCTGGTGGTGGATTTTCGCCAGGTAGTGAGCAACTATTAATTCGGCAAGTTCAGCTAAAGTTATACATGCACACCGATGATTGTTGATTTGAGCTTCACTTTGAACTGGCATAAGACCCATGCCAATATCACGTGAAATTGGCAGAAGAATCATTAGATTATATTTATTATACAATCCTATCTGATTGTAAGACTGTAGAGGACTTTTGGAATCTATGTGAAAGAGCCTAATTACGTTGGAGTATCTTTAATAATCAATTCAACTTGTGTTCTCATAGATAGTTAGGGCTATTAATAAAAGCTTTGAAGAAGAATCATTTGCACAATGCAATCCTCACTTTCTCACTAGACAAGGGCCCAGACCATAAATTTGAATTATCTATTTTGTACGTTTTCTCCAGTATTGGGTCACAGCTAGATCGCCGTATACACAACTAAAATCTACTACAAAAAAGAGCCCAGATAGGCCTAGCAATACAGAGTCGGAGCAAGCACATGGAGCTCAGCACGGTCCACCTTTACTCTGCTTGCTTAGCGCGTGGTGACATAACCACCTATCTCGAACAATTCAGTAATGCCGACGCAGACAAAATTTGCGACTTCGGATCTTTATTTGCATCAGATTTTAATTGCGTATGTAGCTAGGTAGCTATGACACAGTATCAGAGCTAAATTACAGAAAAGATGCCTCAATATATAGAAAGAGCACTCATACCTTGGATGTCATTTGCAAGTACCACTGCGAAGTTATTACGGCTTTTTCTTCACCCCAAGTCAACCACCATCCGTGAATACCCACCCAGGTACGTCTCAAAAACCATGGATTGTCTAGCCATGTCTCCGTCATTCCCTGAAATTTATCCGCGCGAAGTGTAGTCGGAGGCATCTGCTTCCCAAGTGGATTAGGTGCACAGGCTACTAAAACTATATCGGAGAACACAACCAGGAAGCGGACCATGGCACCTTCTATTGTTGGCTCATGTTTATGGTGTCAGCTGCACTCTCTCAATTGGAGTTCTCGGCGAAAAAAGAGCTCAATTCGTAAACTCTTGCCAAAATTCGAAATTTCACGCCCGTCAGGATTATATCCATCATTTGCATTATTTTGTAAACTTGTACTAATACCTCTTACGTCCTACCCAGAGAACAGTCTTCCAGATTTGTGCGCCACTCTTTGCTTCCTCCCTTGGATATAAATATCGGCGAAGGCGTGTATTTTGTGGCCAGCTGAGGCCAGAGGATAGTTGACGAGAGGTGTGGTCATTGGAATGAGGATGTACTTGGTCATACTTGTAGGCTTAATGAGACTTGGGTATGAGTCAAACTCGTAAGTGAAATTTTATCGTGGTGGAGTGATTTGAATCCTTGCCTTGTGGGACAGCTTCTTTTTTATTGCGAAGTTTGACTGAAATTGGTTCTGGGAGAATAATTCGCACCCAGGTTCGTGGAGGACATCACGTACAGATGTTCAGTCTTGCCCCCCAGAACGAACTTATGTACTCCTATATTCATCCATTTAGTTGTAAACGGGCCCATTTTAGATCTTGAAATTATTCGTCGGATTAACATTAATCCGACCCGGTTTAGTGTCTCAATGAGGCTGCCGTTAAGCATCGTTTTGGCAAGGCCTCGACATATCTCCTTTACACGCAACTACAATACATCACAAAACCGCGCCGTGTCACAACTTTACGTTACAGCATCATGCCTCCCAAGATAGGAGCTAAGCATACTATCCATGTTCCACCAGCTCGACCACTTTATAGATTCGCAGCAACCGGCCTGGGGGCAACCATGTGGTTTTTTGTACGTATAATGGTCTAAATAAGACAATGACTCTAATGAATTACTCGCAGCTAATGTATAGAGCGAAACAAGACGGTACTATCTGGTGTATTATCATGATTACTCTTCAGATCTAACAATAATACAGGACCCGTTCTACTCGGATGGAAGCATCCATGGGATCACTGAAGGCTAATGCAATAAGTCTTTGGTGCTTGCTTAGTGTGAAGGTTTATACAAAGTTAATTCATACAACGGTCCAGCGTATTCATAGTTCATTAATATAAGTGACACTTTTGGTGCAGAATCGATCATGAGAAGAAAATATTTTGAATTTGAGATAGTACGAATATCGCGTCTACTGTCCATTAAGAGTGATTTTAGAATTGAAAGACACCGGTAACTTGTGATTCTAGTTGGCTTTTGGCTTCTCAAAGAGGTAATGCGACACACCCCAGGTATCTCCTCCTTCATAGGCAAACAGCTCAGCACAGGCCATATAAAAGATCTGCCACCTATTGTACCACATAGCTGCATCGTTTTCTCCATATGTTTCTATTAGATGCGGCCAAATCTCTTTTTTGCTCGATATCATCTTCGATAACCAGTCCTGGAAGTTATCGATTAGCGCTATTATTACTGATAGACGAGCACAAACAAACCTCACATGTCTTGGCATAGTGTTTACCTGATACCCACCATTGATTTTCTAGTTTGAGATCGCGCTGAAAATATAAGAGGAGGTCCGCAGAAGGCATAGTACCCCCAGAGAAGAAATGTGTGCTCATCCAACCTTCTTCAAAATCGTATGGCATAGTCTTATGAGCAAATATGTGTACAAATAGTTTTCCTTCCGATTTAAGTGCTCTACCCAGCTTAGCAAGTAGCAACTCATAATTCTTCATGTGCTCAAATAGTTCGATAGAAACAATTCGATCAAACGTATTCATTTCAAATTCGTAATTAACAATATCTCCAGTGATAACCGTTAGATTTTTCAGACCTTTCTCCTCAGCTTTCCTATCAATATAGATTTTTTGAGTTTTAGAGTTTGAAAAGGCAGTAATCATGGAGTTTGGAAAGACCTCAGCAAAATAAATGGCTCCAGATCCCCAACCACACCTGTTCTTTTGTCAGTTAAGAATGAAACATACCTACACCTAGAAAATTACCCGAGGTCAAGAATACTCATGCCATCTTTTAGCTGTGCTTTCTTGACATAACTTTCTAGCATAGCTATTTCCGCCTGAGCTAACGTTTCTCCTCCTTTTGGGTATAGAGCACAGGAGTACTTCATTCTTGGACCCAAACATGCTTGTAGAACACCAGTCCCAACTTCATAATGTTGTTCGTTTGCAGTGGCAGTCTCGATGGCTATAGGTCTTGTCCGAAGGAGGTCAACGTATTTCATTTTCTTTTGATATGCATCTTCTAAGGATGAGGTCTTAATTATTTCCGTACGCTCACGCAATTGTCGACGTATACCAATCCTTATGACAGAATTTGGAAGATATCCACCATCGAGGACCCAGTCTGGTAACTTATCAGTCGCTACCGTCATTTAGACATTCGATCAGACCCACCATAGTTCATATTTAAACAATTAATATATATTTGACCTTTGTTTTGAGTATCAATCGAGTTGCGCTGGGATTCAATTGGAAGGTTTACAGTATATGACTACCAATCTTTCATCAAGCTTATCAAAGCGCGCAGCCACAGCGCGCAGCCACAGCGCGGATCTTAGCGTGAATATAATCTTGCGATGATACGAGCAAGACAGAGACAGTAAAAAGCTCTACATATTTGGTGATTTTCGGAAAATAACGCGTTATCCTAGGGTAAGAAAACCTCAAGAAATAGCTTGTTAAAATGTATTTGGGTACCACTTGGTTGTTTGAAATTTTTCAAATAGCTCTGATCAATCTTACATAGAATTAGACTCAGTAAATTCTTTCGAGTTCCAATGAAAAATCAAGTTGGGAAAATCACAGGCTCAACAATTAATTTGAATTCTTTCTGATCCTGGACTGTATTTTGGCCAAAAGAAAGCTGGAAAGATCGGTCTGACTATGACCAAAATATGTACCGAGCTCGCTCTAACCACAAGGGTAGCCCCCGAGATGACGAAAACTAAACATCTGCCCGCCGTGTTCTCCATGGAACTGGGGGTGAAATTTCGTCCCAGAGCCAAGTTCAGTCAAATTTCGCGATAACGAAGAAGTTGGCTCACGAGGCGATGATTCAGGATACTCCACTACGATAATCTCACCCTCTAAACGAGTTCGATCCTCACCAAATCAGCACCAGTCATACCAGAATTACTTATTGTATTATCGACTTGAAACTTGTTGTCGATATTGCATATGTATGTCAGTTATCACAGACATTGGAAATAATTCATGAGATTGCTTAATGAGAGGCTAGTATTGATTCCGATATAATATTGTAGAAGACTTGTCCCAACTATCAGAGTGCTACAACGTCTTTATCTATCTACAGGTAAACTCCCCATATCCCAACTACGCTAACCATACAGGACGTAGCATATAAAGCCTGATTCGTATCATCATTTTGGGGTTGAGGTTTACCATGCATATGCTACTCGAGTCGCATATCTGACTACTATGCGACACGCTCAGGTATCAATCTAACAACCCACACCAAAACCGAAACTACTCACAACCTTGATGATGACCCCATGAATAATTGTAACAGTAGTCTGCAAAATAGCATAATTAGGCTAGACATCGTTGATCAGGACCTAATCCGAACATTATATCATCGTTCCGATGGAAATACTTTTCCTCGACTTTCTCTGGCCTTAGCTAGTCAACAGATACATGCCCGTGTCGATATCTATTTTCTCTGGAGGAAACAAAGGGTGGCGCACAGATCTGGAAGACAGTTCTTTGGGATGAGCGTGAGAGACGTGTAGGGTGTGTTTACTGTGCTACTTGAGTCTTAGACTATCTAGCATATTGAGCTCCTCTCTGACTCAGATCACACCTTGTGAAGTGCTCCTATCTTCTTTTGGTACTTGAAGACCTTTGATGTATTCCCGGTGATGAATAGCCACTCAGCTAAGTATTTACCTGTGGAATTCAGCAAACTCTTTCATGGAACCTTCCACCCAAAAAATAAAACGGCAGCAATGGAAACTGTGTGCGCGGGAAAAAGTCTCAAAAAATCTGCAGCCCCTACCAGGCGAGACCTAGACACTGGAGCCACACGAGGTCCTCATATTCATCTATATCTCCCTTCTTTGTAACAGTTGTGGCCGACTTGATCCAATCCACCATCGCCGCATCTGGTGCTGGGTACGTTCCGGAAACTCATCGGATGGCTTTTCCTCAATGACCAAGGTTGGGTATTAAGGAGGGCTCCAGCCCTACCATCTGGTCTGATGGTGGTTAACTTCATGAAAATGGTGATGGGGAGATGTACGAATTGTTGATGACCATATAGACCGCGAAAGCGATTGGTAATTCTCGTAAATGTGAGGACTTTGTTACTCAATCTCGACTCTGCAGACTCTACAGTCAGAGCTGGAGGTTCGTTGGAAACACCACTGAAGGGTGTTGAGAATAGTCTCCCTGAGCGTAATAGAAAGCAGGACAAGTTTATAAGTTGATGCAGAGGGTGGATAAAGTCTCGACGGATGTAAGGTTCCGAATTTTGGCCAGGACATTTACACTGTGAAGAGCGTTATGCGCGCTTACCTTTCAATTGCAGGAGTGCAGCTGATACTAGAAATACAAGCCATTGACTGAGGATGCTGTGGTCCGCATCCTGGTGGGGTTTTCCGGTATAGTTTGAGCAGCCTAGGCACTTACTTCACCTGGAAAGGAGACGCCTCAGACCTCATTTCGAACGGAAACAAGTAAATGGACGATTAAGACATGTCTGGATAATTGGGGATATTTGAGACGTTCCCCTGGGTGGGTATTCACGGATGAGGGTTGACTTGAGTGAAGAAAAAGCCGCCATAACTTCGCAGTGATACTTATATACGAAATCCAAGGCATGAGTGCTCTGATTGTTTATTGAGTCATCGATTCTATACTTTGTCTCTGTTGTTGTGCCATAGCTAGCTAGCCGCATACGCAATTAAAATCTGATGCAAGAAAATAACTGACAGACAAATCCTTCATCAATAACTGTCATTAAATATCGCCCGACCTATCTCTGTACTCCATATTTTCAACACATGTTAGAATCACCAACCGTCCTTCCCCTCCTCATAATCGATTAGTAGATCCATAATTTCTTTGTCATCGTTCTCCCCTTGAGCCTCGAGCCCTTTTTTCTCTTCCTCTGTAACTTTCTTAATGGCCTTTTTCTGTCGTTTCCTAGCCTTGGTTTCCCGATCAGCGCCACTAGCGATTTGGTCCTTTTCAGCATCTCCTAAATCATCGTGTTCAGAGACTACCATGCCGGTGCTCCGGAGCTGGTTAGGAGAGATTTTGACAGAAGAGGTAGAAGAGTCTGTATCGGGAATTTTGGCGTGCTGTTTGGCCTGAATTTTGGCAGCAAATTTGAGCAAATACGGACGCAGGAGTAGGTATACTCCCACAATTACTACGATTCTTATGTAGTCGCGGAGACGCATCCCGTCCCACATGCCCCATACATTGCGAACCAAGTTATCGCCACCTTGCTTAACGAGTCCTGATATGGCCGACATGCTGCTGTCGTGAATTGTATTAACGGATGCAATGCACAGAAAATAATGAATCCTAGCGACGATCTAAGCGTGCGTGTTAGAGAGGAAAAATGCAACTAGGTATGTGCTGCCTTGAGTGGTAGAGAGTAACAATGATCCGGCGAAATCAAGATTGTGGTATTCTTTATTTTTTATCGGTTAACGTCCTTTATCCGGTTACAATGATACAGGATAAAAAATGGTAGAATTGAATGACAGTTTAGCGAGATTAATGGCGTGGGAAATGAGTGTGAGAAAGGGACAAAAATGGTTGGGTATTCGTTGTTGGAATAAATAGACGTGTTATATAGTCCACCATAGTGAGGATCCCAGATTGATAGACCTCAAGATTAGTACGAAGCTAAGATGAGTTGAAATGCTTATATAATGTTATTCACGTCGGAGTCCGGGCGCAAAATAAGGAATACTGTAGTAAAATAGACGATACCCTGCATTCTGCAGGAGCGTAAACAGTCTCTTATGGGGTGTAATAGTACAATTTTCAAAATGGGAGGGCAAGACTGAACCCGGAACGCGGTGTCCTCTACGAACCTGGGAGTGAAATATTCTCCCAGAGTCACGTTCAGTCAAATTTCGCAATACCGAACAAGTTGGCCCACGAGGCAATGATTCAAATTACTCCACCACGTCAAATTTTCACTCCCAACGAGATCAATTCCTACCTGAGCCTCATCAAGTCTACAAGTACGACCTAGTACATCCTTATTCCAATGATCACACCTCTCGTCGACTTTCTCTGGCCTCAGCCGATCACCAAATACACGCCCGCGCCGATATTTATACCCGACGGAGGACACAAAGCGTGGCGCACAAATCTGGGAGATAGCTCTTTGGGATTGGCGTAAGAGGATTAAGGACAAGTTAACAAGATGATGCGACGGATGGATACAGTCTCGACAGGCGTGGAATTTCGAACTTTGGCAAGGAGTTTCTACAGATTGGGCTTTGTGCGTGCCAAGGCTTCGGTTCTGAGATTGCAGACGACACTATAAAAACTGCGATGGTTGGATGGTGCGGTGGTACATCGTCTTGGCCGGTCTGCCAAATAGAGTCTGGATAGCTTGGACACATATCCCACTCGAGACAGTAGATCGCTGGTTCAAATCCAGCAAAACACAGCCACATTTCTCGCGGCGCTGGTATGCATGGATGACAAAGGTTTAGAATTTCCCTTTCGTGGGTACTTACGGAGGAGGGTCGACTGTTTGTGTAAGCAAGCATACCTCATAGTGGTATTTGCAAATGAAATCCAGAGTATGAGTGTCTCTAACGTCAGAAGAGTCATCCAACATGTATACATAGTACCGGTCATGTGTCATAGCTCTATAGCTGAATACACATTAAATTTTTTTTATAAAAAAAATATGCGCTAGGTGGAGATAGAACGAATCTCAACAATCCTAGTTGGGAATGCGCGCAGTTGACAGAAAGGATGTGATGACAATTAAGGCTAAATATTATGTACATATACATATCCTTACATAAGAGAAAATAGATTTATGCGAATTTTACAATCTCCTATTTTAGCAAACTTTTAGCAAACCCGCTTCTTTCTCGTCATAGTAATTCGTCGGCTCCTAGTCCCTCTCGTCTCCACCACATAGCACCTCGCTAGTGCAGTCTTGAATACACCATGTTAATGTCACGGTCTAAGAATAGGCACTTCGTCAACCTTATGATCAGAGGTGGTTTACATTTGATCTACGGTGAACTACAGATTTAAGAGGATTAAAACAACGTCACATTTTTTCTTCCGACCCATCCCACATCGCATTACCCATTACCAATTCTACAAGAATCTCCAACCGATGCAATAGCTGGAGCCAATGTACCGTCATCGACAATGCCCTCCAATCCAGGAGGGCAACTTCATCCAAGCCTGCTTGGCATTATAAACCCAATGCAAAAAGCAGAACAACAAAGAAAAGAAAGATTGGGTATAGCCCAGGAACTTCTTGAACTACTCGACTCCTAGGCTAAGAGCAAAGGAGAGAAGCAAGCAGCAGCAGTTGTCGCGACTATGCTGGAAAAAATCACGCCTTTTATCACTACCTTCGCAGTAGATCAGGTAGAAGCAACCAACTCTCCAAGCAAGAAGCCCCCCACCACGGCAAGCACTCCCAAAACAGTCGCACCTATGAACAACAAAGCTGTTGAGGATCACAGCCACGCCATACCCTCAAAGTCTCAAGACATCAGCTCGCCTTGGGTGACAGTAGCCCGCAAAGCGGCCAAGCTACCGACGCCGCCAAAAGTGCAAGTTCCGCGAAGGCCTGCACTAATAGGCAACTCGAAACCTCAGACAGCCCCAAAGGAGGACAAGCGCTTATTCCTCCGATTGAGGAAAGATCACTACTGGCACAAGTTATCACCAGTCACGATCAAGAAAATAATTACCGACAAGGCTGGGATAGCGACTCCCGATATCACGTCCATTTACCCAGCTATGTCGGGGATCGCTCTCGAATGCGCATCAGATACATTGAGAGATAAAATCATGAAGATTGCATCTTCCCTACAGGAAGACAATACTGTGATTGAGGAAGCGACCAAATGGACATCATTGATCGTACCTCATGTGCCATTGTACATCAGGACGCTTGAAGGTAGCATTCCAGTCACCAACGACATGGTGAAGAACAAGTGCCAGGCTGTATGTGGCGCCACACCAATCCAGGTACGGCCCACAGAAACAAAACTTAGCCAGTACTCAACGCGCTGGATTGTTCATTTCCAACAAAAACCAGCGAATACGAAGTTTCGTCTCTTCGACGAGAGTGGACCGGCAATCCCCTTCTCACGCCGACGACCGATCGAGCAATGCCAAAGTTGCTGGGGATTCCACACCACGCGTTCCTGCACGTGGAGCCAACGATGTGGGAGATGTCGGCGAACCTACGAAACATCAGAGTGCCAGGCCAAGGTTTCAAAGTGTTCGAATTACGCGGGACCTCACCACTCAAATGAGGTTAGCTGTATGGCCCGGTCAAGATGACAAAACGGGATAATTCTACCCCGTACCCCGGCAGAACTTCAAATTATCAGAGAACGCGGACATCGTGATTATCACGCTGCTCTAGCGTACTCTGAAAGGAAGGGTAAGGCGGTTGAAACCTTCATTGCCCAGGACTCAACAATGTCGTGTTAATGTTAGGAAACCCCTCAACAAAAGCACCAAAAGACAAGTACAACACCTTCCACTTTCACCAAGTGAATGTAGGAAGAGGTGGGGAAAATACGGATATAGCATTGTAGCAGGTATGGGATGCCGGTGCACATGTAGTCATAGTTCAGGAACCATGGACAAGAAAGAAAGAGGGGGGTTTTATAACGAAAAGTCACCCTGGTTATTATAGTCATCTAACATTTGGAGGAACAGACATCCAGCCCCGCGCGATTACTTTCACGCGCAAAGGTAGTCATGCAACTCAACTATTTCCACCGTCGTCAGGCCCGACATCTGACTACTGTGTCGAACCTTTTAAGCTGGTTCGGAAGCTGTAATGATTGAGACTAGAGGTATCTGGAACAATAGCTCGCACAGGAGCTTTCAATTGAAGTAAATAAAAAGATGTAATTGTCTGTCTGTCTGCCTTCCTTCCTCTTACTCTCAGCTTATATATCTACACATATCTACTACCTGACATATGATGATAATATCTAGAAATAGCTTCCTTACATCACAGGATACAATCCAAACATGTTGTAGCCAAGATGTAATCCTAAACCGACTCAATACCAGTCCACCACGTCTGTTACACGGACGCCAAGCATTTTCTAGCTGAAAATTACCCAAAACGCCAAGGTTTTCCTGAGGCAATCACAAATTATGTCAGGTACCAGCTTGGCATATTATTCTGACAATAATGTTACGATCATGTTAGAAGAATGGAATTTACATGAATCACGAAACATTAATTCAGGAATACGAATTCCACCGGGTTCTGATACTGGTCTGACATACTGTTTTGTAAAGATGGGCAGCCTAACCTTTGTCAACGTATACCGTGCCCCAGGCATTAGTGGAACCTTGGAGCCCCTACTCCGGTGGGAAGTTAGAGGTTTAGTGGTTGTTGGAGGCGATTTCAATTCTGTGTCATAGCATTGGCAACCGCTAGCAACAAATCAGTACGGCAATGGTAACCAGATTATGGAATGGGAAACAGCCCACGACATGGACCTAGTCAGCATTATAGGACAGCCAACGCACAGAGATGGGAAAGTCCTACATCTAACGTGGAGCAACACGGCCGCTATAACATCAGTGTCCAACCGCTACCACTGTGCCTCAGATCACTCGACCATCGAATGTACCGTGCTTAACCCTACAGTGTCAGATCTCTCTGGAATTGTAAAGAACATTCGTGTCAGCAACGCCAACTTGAAGGAATTTAGCCGATGCGTTAGCCAATGGACCAAATCTGGCCCTCTCTACAGTGTCGTCAACATCGAAAACTTCACAAATTATCTCCTACAAGCACTTGGAGATGCGCTCAAGATTGCAGGGAATGTTCCAGCCATCGAAAGCGGAAGAACTGGGTCATGGTGGACCGATGAATATCGCACAGAATGGCAAGAGTCGAGGAAGCGAGAGACAACCCTGACCTCGCAAAAGAGGCCCGCAAGAGCTTTAGAACCGTGGTACAAAAAGCCAAGCGAGAGTACTGGAAGAGGCAAGTGGAGGCAGTGATTACTGACGCACAGGTATTCAAGCTCATGGGATGGGCTAAGCCTCGACCAGCTGCTGAGTCGCCTCCCCTGCAGATTGACGAAAACCGGTGGCTATCTGACCCGCGAGAGCGAGCTAGTGCGCTTCGAGACATTCTCTTGGCTAGCTTTAGCGGCGAGAACGAAATTTCTATCTTGGAGAATGGACAAGAAGCGTATTCCATGGGACACGGAATTATCACTGGACGATGTGGCAAGCGCCACTGTCTCTGTCAACGATACGGCACCGGGAG